ACGTCCGAAATTTTCGTTAAAAAATCTATTTTTTTTTTGAGTCAGCAAAATTGACTATTTTTTTCCATTTTAAAAAACTGAAATCTGACTTTGAAATTTTTTTTAAATATCAATTATCATTTTTCAAAACTTATTTTAAGAAAATCAGAAATTATAATGTTTATTTAAAATATTTTGAACCAAACTTAACTTAACTTAGCTTTTGTGTCAAAAAGATGTAATTTGAAAATAAAACAAAGCAGGTCATAAACTTTCGCGTCTCTTGACATGTGATGAATGATATATTCTGAATTCCATGAGGCTAATTTGTTCTACGGAAGGAGAAAAGTGAAATAATTTACATTTACGTGAACAAATTATTTACCCCGTTATTTTTAACGAAAACTTTCAGCGGTCTAATTTTTTTTTTTTTTTGTACTTAGCTTTCACCTTTACATTTATGATGCTTTATGGGAAATATATTGTAAAAGAAATTAAAATAAAACTGTTAAGAGTGACATTAAATTTCATATTTCTTAAGAAAAAGGTATCTAATTAATTTAGGTCCCTTTTCTTATGAAATTTTATCAGAATTGTACATAAAATACTATAATTTTATGTACATTTATTACATTCTACTGTTATTTGTATTTGCATTCATTTTATTATTAATTTTGATATTTCATTTATGGAAAAATGTCGTAACTGAGATTAATAAAATAAGATCATATAAATTTCATAAGATGATACTGATACTTGTAGGTAACCTTCTCAGTTGAAATTGAAAAATCAAATTAACTTCTCCACGTGTTTCAAAAAAAGTAAAGGCCTTAACAGCGGAGAACAATGCTTAACTCAAATAACATAACTTAATTATATTCTGGTTGGTCTTCATTATTTTATAATTACAGCTCGATTATAAGCACAAAATTACATTTCTTAATTACTGGGTATCTTCTGATTAGTCAAAATGATACAATTTACAACGCGCTAAAAAAAGATCTATCACATAAGGACACTTATGAAAGCCGAAAAAATTTTTTAACTAATTTTATAATATTTTAACAACTTAAATGTAAAAATCTATTATAATTAATGAAATAACAAATAATTGTATTAAAAATTCATTTTTCATCGAAAAATTTTTTTTTTGCTTTCAGAAAATATTGTCCATATTCAGAAAAAAACAACTAAAAGCAAATAAAAAGCATTTGAAATTAAATAATATCTTTGTTTTATTGAGTTTTGTATGTGTTGTTACGATACACCTAATTTACATAAGTTTACCGACAATTAAAATATAAATATGGGTTGGTATTCCGAAAACGGGAAGATAGTAAGAAAATTGAATCCAGAGACTCTGCCCTCGATTTAGTCAACCCATTATGCAGGAACAGTCTTCCCAAGAATATACCAAAACTAACTGTAAATATTTTAAAAAACCTTTTCCTTGTTTCAATACATTTTGTTTAAAATACATTTTGTGTTGTATTTTATTATTCCATGCTTATCAAGTTTCAACAGTATGTTACAATTCAGAGCTGATTTTCAGGTACTGCATATCCAATTAAAAAAAAAAAAAAACATGATTTGCATTCCTCAAAAGCCCTGTCTTTTAATTATTGTAATCACTGATAAAATAGACAAGGTTTTCTAGCATTTTCATAAAATTAGTTATGGGGGTAATAAATATTTAAAAAAAATATTTCTACCATGACTTTTCTTTAAAAAAAACATATTTATAATAATTTAGATCATCTGTGAATAGTTTCTGAAAGTTTCATTAACATCTGATAATTATTTCTATTTTTTGCACGATTTTTCAAATTAATGTGTGTCATATAAAAAAAAATGTGCTAAAAATTGTCTTATTTACTAGTTCCGCTGATACAAATAGAAAAAAGGTTTTTTTAATCAAAATTAGAAATTTTCTAAAAGAAGGAAAATTTTAAAAATAATTAATTAAAAAAACTTTGGTCTTTCCTTTTAATAATAACAGAACATTTAGACAATAAAATTCAGTTTTTTGCAAGTTTGGCATTTTTTCATCAAGCTATGCTCTTTTTTTTTTTGAAAAAATTGGAGGTACCTATATATATATATGTTTCATTAAATAATATAGACAAGTGTTGTCTATTTTATGTAAATTCTTTTCATAACGCTTCTAATAAATTTAATAAAAATTATCATTGAAACGAATAAAGATATTCACAATATTGATCCATAATTTTTAATACATTTCTAAGCTTTTTTTACATAAGCCATTATCAAAGATGTCAATTACATCCTATTAAGCAATATACACACAAGACAGTGATGACAGTCTGTGAATGTTTACATAGATGAATGCAAAATAAATTTACGTGCATATAAGATGCTAGAAAATAAAAATATCATTCAAATTTCTCATGACGTCACACATGACCAACGAGGTGACTTGAGAAGTATTTGTAGAGATTCCTAGTTGACATATCCTTAAATGTTAAAATATATTTGTAAATAACGGAGGGCATTGGTTTAAAACCATGACTTCCATACTTATTGAAAAAAACCTATTATGTAAATTTTTCTAACTTTGTATAATATTTAAGCAATACACCCTAATATTTATTCAGTAAAAATTTCATTGCTAATCATGCATTACTTTTTAAGTAAAACAGATATTTATATCTTTGTTTTTTCCGTTCCTTATATTATGGCCGCTACTATATATATATAATTTCCCCCTTAGCTTCTCCTTTTTTGTTTCTTTTTTTAAAAACCTATATATATATATATATATATAAATACATCGATCAGTAAAACACACACACACACACGAACGACACAATACACGTACAGCAACACACACCCACATCAACTGGAGGACCATCAGGTAATAAAAGTAATAACCTACTAAACTCACAGTAACATATTTTTGTCATTGAAAGTATTACTGCCCCTATAGTAAGTTGAATTTATAGCTGTGTTTACAGTAGTAATTATAGATATAACACTTCATTATCAAAGTATTTTTGGAGAAGAATAAGACACCTACTATTAAATAGAAATTAATCAAGAGAGCCTGAACATGTAATTCCCTATATGCCCCTTGTTATCTATGTCTTAATGAAAAATTTGTAATAATAAGATTTAAAAATAAGACCCATCTTTTAAATCGAAGAAATAAACTGTTAGCTGTGTCGTTCATGTTTGCACATGTGTGTTTCTTTTTTGCTGATGGAATTATATATATATATATATATATATATATATATATATATATATATATATATATATAGTTGAATGTTTGTGTGTGTGTGTGTGTATATATATGAATATATCTGTACTTATAGTTATATGTATGTACATATATATATATGTGTGTGTGTTGATACCTGTTATATGTGCTCATGTTTATGCGCTTCTGTATGTGTATGTGTCTAAACTTAGGCATGTATCTGCATGTACTTGTGTGTGTGCGAGTATATATATATATATATATATATATATATATTTCATGCCTTGTATTCGAATTTTTATAATCATCTTAACATAGGCTTCATGTTAGTAACATAAGATGTTAGAAAAAAAAACCTGTTGATAATATTCTCATATTTGTGCTGCCAAAATGCAGCAAAGAAGCCTAAGGAAAAGGCAGAGAAAGCAGAAAAAGGCAATTCCCACACTATGTTGCATGTGGTGACCTTTCAGAAACTGTTGACAAGAACTCTTTATGCGAGCCATGGAAATATGTTGTTACCTATGGACTATCGCTTCTTGCTATATCATTGATAAATGTGTGCTGATAAAGAATGAAAACTGAAAGAATAAATGCTACTAAGTGAATCAGTGGGCCTTGCCTGAATGTTGAATATTCTGTGAAAAGTTCTAAGAAAATATAGTTGGCAGCTGAAGGAAAATAAGCGTAGCCTGGTGAATGGAGGATGAGATGATCGTAAGTTAAATCACTGTGATGGATGTCAAAGTGAGATCATAATGAATTTTAAAATTCTGTAGAAATGCCACTACTAAGGGAATGAGGACTGCATCATCCTCCAATATAAAGTGGTTGGTGTGACATTTAAATGTGATGTGATAGCGTGAAATGAAATACAAAAAAAAAAAAAAAATATTTGTTAAAAGGTAATATTTTCTTTTGAGAGAATTTTGTAATGTGTTTTTGAAAAAAAAATTAAAAATAAAAAAGAGTCAGTATGTTTAACTGAATTTTATGTTTGATTGAAATAAGAACTTTTGACATTGTTATTCCCTCTATTCATATAAATGAAAGTATGAGGAAAGGAGAAAGGTTCTATATGATAACATTTTTGATAAGCATTGCTACATATTGTCCTTCTTTCTTATACTAAGGCTTATATCAATATGATGATTTAATTGAGAAAATTGGCCATTATCAAAATATAAACCCTTTTAAGATTAGAAAAATGCAATGTATACATCCATAGTCTTTTTCTTTTTTTTGGTGAGATGTTATGAACCCACAACTAAATTTATTATAAAAACTATACCATTGCTTATATTTTAGAAGCATTCTAAAATAAAGAGCCCAGTATTTGCAGAAACATAGAGGTAGTAAGCCCAAAGAGATAGGTAGACTTAGTGGCAACAAAGATTAACTAGATATTACCCTTTCTTTCTCTTTTGGTTAACTTTACAGATAGATTCCAGATAGGAAAAGTTGAAACAGTTTAAACTTTCTCTAACCCTGCAGAAGAGAGAGGGGGTCAATGACTTCATTTCACCCATAATGGGAAAAGTTTGTATTTGAAAATTGACCACATGACAAGAAAAAAGGAAATGAATAGAGAAACGAAAAAGTCAGTCTTGTCCAGGCCTAAGGGCTGGGCAGACGTGTTTGCGTAAAATATAAGAGTTTTGTCCAGGCTTATGGGCTGAAAAGGCGTGTTTGTGAAAAATATAAGGGTTTTGTCCAGGCCTAATGGCTGAAAAGACGTGTTTGCAAAAAATGCAAGAGTTTTGCTCAGGACTAAGGGTTGGAAAGATGTTTGTGAAATTACAAGAAGGAGAATTCATCTCTGAATGGAATAGATGGACCTGTTTGACGACATATGCAAAATGCCGCTACACCGGGATGAAAGAGAAACAGAAGACAGCTTATGGGAAAAGGAAAGAGAGGAAGAAAATATCTTAAGGGAGAATGATGCTACATCAAGATGAAACTGCTTTCTTTCTCATTCAACTTAACTGTCACCAAGCCCTTAAACAAAGGACGAAAGGGAAAAGAAAGAAAGAAAGAAAAGACCACCTCAACCGAGAATGCTGCTACATCAAGATGAAAGAGAGAGGGAAAGCATTTTCAACTTAATCATCAGCCAAGCCCTCAGACAGGATGAAAAGAGAAAGAGGAAGAAAAGACCTCAAAAGGAGACACTTATAAAAAAGAAATAGAAAAGGAAAAAAAGAGAAAAAAAGAAGTAGATATAAGAGACATTAGTGGAAAGGAACTTTTATTATTATAAGTTTGTTTTTCTTTGTGCTTCGTTTAAATGTACTTTTTCATGTTTGTACTTTCATGCAAGTTTAGCATGAGATCTTTTTATTACATTTCTTTCTACTTGTCTTAAAATTTTAATGTTTTGTAAATTCGTGCAAGTATGGCACATGTTCTGTAAATTCATGCAAGTATGGCACAAGTCCATACGTTGATTTGTGTTTCACCTTCCTAAGAGGATGTTCCCCTCCCAATATATTGTCTACAATGTTTAAATGTTTATTCTTGACATATTGTCATCTTTGTTTTGGACGTTTTTTTTTTTTTTTTTTTTTTTTTCCCCATGTTTTTATGTTTGTTAATAAATTTATATTCCCTGTCTCCATTGTTGTTTGCCACCTATTGTGTTTGTTCCTTAATTGATTCCGCTAGGCCGTGTCTGATCAATAGGAAAGAGACCCTTGGAAAAGAAATATATTTTATGAAAATTGAGTAAATGTAAACAAAAAAAACACAGATTATGATCCTCCTCTACCTCCTATATATATATATATATATATATATATATATATATATATATATATGTGGGTTTATGTTTGCGTTTTTTATATGTGTGTGTATGTATATATATATATATATATCTGGTTTGTTTAGTTTTTTATGTTGCGGCATGGGTTAATATATTTATGCTTGCTTCTGTATGTGTATACATGTGTATGTGTATATATGTGGGTATAAGTTTGCGTGTAAGTATGCTTTTCTGTGTTTCTGTCTGTAGTGAGGAATGTGTTTATATATCTAAAGATGCCTGCGTGTTTTTGTATTATAATCTGATTGTGTATGTATTGTCTTTGGCAAGATTTCAGCCTCCCTTGCTCATTTTTTGCTTCAAATGTATCCAAGTTGTCGTGGAGTTGAAAGCAGTATTAGATCTTAACGTTTATTCCAACTTAATTTCAATAAAAACAAAATAATTAGAAAAACATGTATTTTTTTTTTCCTCAGTTTCTTTAAATAATTTTAAACTTAATATAGATTAAATTTAAAATTGGTAATTTTAAATTTTATCGTATAATTCAATATTTATTAGTTAGAATGAATTCTATTTTAGTCTAACCCTAACATTAAAGCATTAAATAATTATTATAATGTATGTCCATTGTCAAGTTTTTTGAATTCTCATATACTTGTATTTTGATTGGTCATTCCAGCTTATGTAACAGTGTTTCCCCTAGTGAGGGATATTTGATTGATTTGAACCTTTATTCTATATTCAACCCCATCACTTGATAAGACACCAGAAGTGTTGAAACAAAATGGCTATTTTTGTAGTGATTTTATAACATATTCATGTTATAATTTTCAAATAAATAATTATAAAATTAAAAGCAGACATTTTTAAAATTATGAGACAATGGGACTGAAAAATCAAAAGAAAATGGTTGAATCACAGCAATAATAACAATATTATTAATAGTTATATTTTAATAAGATGTTAGAATTTGTTTAATAACACTTTCAAACTTGAATATTTCTTGGTGGGTGTATTGGCATGTCTTTGTCAATGTATCAGTGTGTATGTGCGTGCCTTTGTCAGTGTCTGTGTGTACCTCTCATTCTAAATTTCATATTCACCTAAGAATCAAATTAAGAGGAATATGTCAAAAAAATAACATGCATTTCTTCTTCATTAGTTGAATGTAAGGTGTATGGAAATCACCTTTACTTTTATTTCTTTACTTTTATTGTTGTACTATTTCTTGGTAAAGTTCGAAGTCATTGAGCAAAAAAGAGTAAAAGAAGTAGAGAAACTGACATGCAAAAGATATTAAGCCATCTCTGCTGCCAAGTCAGTTTGATGACATGATGATTCCTGTTGAATATCTGAGCCACTTTGATCATGGAACAAGAAAACCTTTGACAAAATAAGATACGCGTAGTGCTTTGAATGGAGTTTCCATGGATATCTAAGAAAAAACTTATTAACAGATCAAAGGAATTAATTTCCTGAAACAGTAAAACATCAAAATCTGCTATTGGCAAGTCTGCCAAAATAATAGGTATTTCAAACTGCCAGAGCAAAAACATGCCAAAATAGAGAAGTTTCCTTCAATTTCAACTGCTGATATCTTTATTTTCAAGCATATTTTGATAAAATTAGTATGTAAATGTAACACTTTCGCCCCAGCCAACTCAACCTCCAACGTCTTACTCTCTGACGTGTCTACTTGGTCCTAACTGAACTTAAGGGAGTGGCCGTAGGTCCCTTGAGCATCCGTAGATTATTTGACCGGTCCACTGGTTTAATCCTGCTTCCTGTCCACGTTGTGTTTGGTTTGATCCAGAAAGCAGAAGTGATGTTCATCCATTCACGGTCGACTGAAGATGTAGATATGGCTGTAGATCAGTGCTAAAAAATTTAGAATGCAGCAAAAAAAAAAAAAAAAAAAAAAAATTTAATATCCGCAGAAAGCCGGACAAACAACTATTCAATGATTGAATTGTTAATGTCTTTTATATAGCAGAAAAGAATAGTATAGAAAAGAAATGGGTTACAAAAAAGAAAAGTAATTGACATAAAAACACATACACTGGATTCTGGACACGGAGAGTGCGTTATGATTAACTTGTTAAATCGTCTCAGAACAATATACGACTCTTGAGATGGGGGAATAAGATTTCTGTGTGTGACTTAAAGTTTATAGTGGCATTCCTCCTTAGTAGTAGTAATATTTGTGGTAGCAAGAGCAGCGGTACTTATATCAACAGCACATGTTAGCAGACACTTTGTTCTAATCTCTGATGCCACGTTCTCTCCTTCTTGAGTCTCTCTCTTCCGTCTCAACACTTGCCCGTCTGTCTCCCATCTGAACGCACGCCCAGCGCTCACCCATCTCTCTCCAAGAATTTTCTCCCGTCTGTTGTTTTTTTAGCACATCTACATGTTTATATAAAAAAATCTAGCTGGTTACAACTGAACTTGGTTGCATGTGATTATCACGGTGTTTTGGCTGTTTCAACCAAAATCATGTGAATTCAAAAGGTTCTTCTAGCTTACTCAGCTCTATTTCAATTTTTAATCGATAAAAATTATTTCGGCCATTTCCATTGTCTTCAGAAGACCCAGATTCAATGGGTACAACTCCTGGCCTAGATCAAATTTCCCATCAGTAAACGAAAATGCGCTGACCTAATTTCACTCTTCAAATCCATTCCAATTCCACTAAAAAAAAAAAAATATGTGTGTGTGTGTGTTTTTCAGACTCTTTCCATCACAAATAACATTTAATATTTTTTCCTTTATAAAAAATATTTTTTTTTTTCAGACATTTAAAGGAATATCACATCTCCTTAAATTACAAAAAATATACTATTGTAAAATGATAATACAAAAACACCTCATTTTCAAAAACAATTTTATGATATGTTTAAAACTTACCAAAATTTAGAGTTTGATATTTCCCCAAATATATATATATATATATATATATATATATATATATATATATCAATAAAAAATATAAATATATAATAAATTCTTATATATTTTTTATTTTAGCAAAATATGCTCAATCTAAATTTACAGAGAGCATTAATATTATAAATTAATGGATTTAAAATATTTTTTTTTTTTCACAGTTCTAACCATGTTTCAAAAATGGTAATTTAAGACTTAATTTAATTTTCATTTAAATTAAAGACATTAGTTCCATTTCATCCTATACAGTTAATTTTGATGTATTTTCCATTTGGGTTTTAAATACAAAATTCATGTTTCCAAGGTTACAGATAAATCTATTTTTCTAGATAGGGGTGGTCTGAGTTCAATATGTCTATATTTTAATTTATCAGTTATGCTACATCAAGTACATGGGTAGGGATGTATTTTTCAATGAAATCTAACATAGAAAAATGTGGAGATTTTCAATACATTTTTTTTAAATTATATTGTTAATGCTAAGTAAAACTATAAATTTTTTTTATTATATTTAAAGATTTGGGGGGGTTTAGGTAAGAATACTTTTTATTTAATAAAATTTGAAGGAATATTTTTTTTTTAATCAGATATACTATATTTCTTTCAAGAACAATTGTAGAATAATTAGAATCCCTTATAGTTTATTAGAATTTTTATCACAAAAATATAGTTTTGATTTTAAAAATTTTATATTTAAATATTACTAAAGTAAAATTTTCATTTCTTTGATTTTAAATTTATTTATTTATTTAATTAAAAAAATAAAGGTTTTTTAGTTTAAAATTCATTTTAAAATTACTACAATTTTAATTACAACTTTAAAATATTTTCATTATTAGTTTTTATAGACTATAATTCATTTAATAGAAGTAAAATGTATTAGAGTTATGTAACAGTCAAATAAAACATTTTTTCTATATCTTTATATTTATATTACAATTTTTTAAAATTTTTATATTTAAATATTTTTTTAAGTATTTTTTTTTTTTTTAAAGTCAAAAAAATAGCTAATTCTTTGTTCAGATTTAGTAAACTTTATTTATTTATTTAATTACAATTTAAAAGAAGTTTAGGTTAGAATTCATTTTAATTAACTACAATTTTAATTACAACTTTAAAATATTTTCATTATTTTTTTTATGGACTATATTTCATTTAATAGAAGTAAATGTTAGAGTTACTTACAGTAAGTAAAATTATTTTTCTATATCAAGTATATTTATATTACGATTTTCAAAAATTTTATATTTAAACATTATTTTTGAAACATGGTTAGAACTATTTGTACAAAAAAACATTTAAAAATCAATTTATATATATATATATATATATATATATATATAAAAATGTCCACTCTTAAAGAAAGATTGGATGCTTATACTGACAAGATTTAAAATTGCCTTTCACAAAAAATTTCTAAGTTAACAAAATGAAAATTGTATGTTCTTGTAGAGCAATGCCTTTCAGATCTTGAGGTGCACATGGATCAAAAAGAGGATATACATATTTCATGTAAAACAATTCACACATTTCAGGCTGCATAAATGAACATCACCAATTGGAATCCATTTTAAATCAGAATTGTTTTATTGATTGATATAACAGTTTAAATCTTTTTCTTATATTTTCTTTAATGATACATTTTAAAGCTATATAGAGTTTTTATTCATTGTATTTTGTCCAAACTGTCACTCAAATCACCTTTGCCTTGGTTGTTTTTATGAATTTTCTTAAAAAAAGAAAATGCATTAAACTGAATTCATATTCTAAAAAAGCATCCAATTTTCCTTTTAAATGGTCATTCATTTTATTTACATCCATGGCTGGCAATATTTTCAATAATTTGCTGATTAAATAGAAAATTTACATTTTCTTTTACAAAAAAAAATTAAAACAAAATGAAATTGGATACACTTTATAAAAAATAAAATGAAAAACGAAGGATATATGTTTTAGCTTAACTTTGACACATAATTCCATAAAAAATTGAAATGTAATTAGGTAATTTTCAAAATACAACCAATTTCCTTTTGTTTTTTTTTGTTTTTATTTTTTTATAATTACATATATACTCATGCACAAGCTGACTTCATGTGTAATAAAAGAATTTTTTCAATGAATTTTAACTCCTCAGAAAAATTTATTAACAAACATTAATTAACCCCACTTTTGCATAAAAAGGTGTTCCAGGAATATTGGCTATAGCAGAGGCTTATAAACAAATTCAGAGTGCAAATCATCATTAGAAGAGGAAATGAAGAAGAACCATTCCAAATACCCAGAAAGTCTTTTTCATCAGTTCCAATAAATGTATTTTTATTCATTTTAGTGTTTTTAGTTTGAAGATAAATGATTTTAAATCTTTACAATAAAAATTTGTTTGAAGGATTGACCAAGAATTAAGTTAAAAATTTAAAAATTGCATAATATCATAAAATTTTCCCAAATTAGAGATCTATTACACAAGGTATTCATATTACAGAGTAAAGAACTGTTTTATTGAATTCCTCATCACAAAATTTGTCAAATTTCAAGCAAGTATCTCCAATGGATACTTTTATAGTTAAGTATAGTATCCTTTTGACCTGTTTTTGTCTTACTGTCAAATTGTGCTTCTGGCTGTTTCTATAGGGTGTAAATATAAAGTTTATGTAATACATAAAAAAAAAAAAAATAATAATCTTCATCTGTTATGCTATGAATCATAGCAATCATTGCCCTTCTATTTTTAACTATTTCATTTTTGAGAATACAATTTTCCCAAATTGTCAAATCTAATAAATTATTGATTCTATTCAAAACTACCTATATGACATTTTGTTTATAATGGTTTGAAATTTTGAACTTGTTTTGTTTCATCAGTTATATACTGTTAAAATTGGCTTCTGTCACAATAGAACATGCGACAGAAAATGTTCTAAGTTCTGACAAAATTTAAAAGGTCGTAACTTGGTTTCTAATTGAACTACCAATATAAATTTGATACCATTTTTATATTCTTTTCAAGCTCTCTATCTCTGTATACAAATTTTTTTAGATATATTAAAAATGAAATTTTAGTTTGGGATAATTTAATTTGCATGAAATATTCTTTAATTGTTTAGATTGTGTGGGGAGAGGAGAAAAGACTACTTGATTTCAGTGAGAAAGTGAATGAATGAAGAATAAGTGTTTAATGGTTTGTTTCAATTGAAAAAAGAAAAAACCAAGTTCAAATTTTTTCATTTATCAATTGTTCTTAAAATAATAACCCACGTTCATATTTTTTTTTTGTTAATTCAAATATTTAAATGAAAAAAAAGGGAAATTTCTATAGATATTTTACTGTTGTAGAACAAAAAAAATTCTTACTCAATCATTAACTCAAAAATTCAGATTCATGAAATTTTAAAATAGGAGTTTCTATTGACTTTTTCATGGGTTT